ATGCAAATCATCAAAAGGTAACCCTTAGACCAATAGATATCCAGTGACATTACTGCAATGTCATAAGATTTAAGGATAAATCTGATAATGTGCTGTAAGAAAGGAAAGATTCAAATAGCAGAACTTCCAATATCGCATATTCATTTAACATTCACAACAGGCACTCATCAGTTCAGTAACTGAGTGTTCATCTTGAAAATGGACAGCAGATTATTTTAATGAAGACAATACTTAGGAGTTGGTTGAAACTCAAAAAACACTACCATAATGGCATTCTTTAAGCTTATGCAATATAGATGACTTTGCCAAAACAATTCTCTCTCCTGAAGTGCTTAAATATTATACATTCAAAACTGGAAAATGATACAGAAGAAAGCAAGGAGAACCTCATCCAACGGAACCTGTTATTAAATATAGCGATGTAATTATTCGGGTTTATACAGTCCATCCAAAAAATTATAAATGCTTCTTTCTTCGACTTTTTCCTCATAATGTCAGAGGTCCAAGATCATTTAAAAATCTGAAAACAATCGTTCGAAATGTTCTTGGGACATACAGACAGGCATGCCATCAACTTGGCCTTAAAGAAAGTAATGAGCATTGAAACCAAACTTTACAAGAGGCAGTTTCATATCAATCACCAAAGCAAATAAGGGATCTCTTTGCTGTCATCATTTCTACCTGTTAAATTTCAAATCCATTGGATCTGTGGGTGAAGCACCAAGAAGCAAGAGTGAAGATATTCTTCATCATATGCAACTGGTTCATCCAGGACTAGCCATACAAATGAACCCGAGGATTGTGAACATTGCACTGTGTGAAATAGAAGATAAGATGCTAAATGTGACACAAAAAGAACTGTCCTATGTCGGACTTCCGAAACCAAACAGAGAATCTAATCCTGTAAATAGAGAAACCATGAGAAAGAATGGATACAACCACAAGGAGCTGATTTATCAAATGCAGATAATTATACCTATTCTTAAAATGACCATAGAAACATCTAAAATATGATTATGTTAATGATAATCAATTCTGCTTGAGGAATTTTATTTTTGGATGCCCCTGGAGATACTGGCAAAACGTCCCTAACTAATCTTCTTTTATCTTCAGTTAAGGGGCTACAGCTGTAGCATCATCCGGAATATCACTCGGCATTTAAACTGCCATTAGATTTGGTCTATGATGGTAATCCAGTGTGCAATATAAATAGAGGTACAAACCTAACCAGGCTACTTCAGGTGACTTGCTTCATAGTCTGGGATGTGTCCACTATGGCTCAGAAGGGTGCATTTGAGGCTTTAGACAGAACACTGAAGGATATGAGTCATAGTAGAGACTCATGGGAGGAGGAACAATTCTGCTATCTGGAGATTTCAGACAAACACTCCCTATTGTCAAACGAGGAACAGCTTCAGATGAACTTCATGCCTGTCTGAAAAGTTCTTATATGTTGGATTATATTGAAAGACACTCTTTGGGCGCTAATTTGAGAGTGGAACTCAATGGAGAGGGTGCTTCAAAGGAAACAATATGAACCAATTAGCTTTCCTGAAGGTTTCGGCACTCTGGTCGAGAGTATTGAGGATTGTTTTTTTTTTAAAGTATCCCCCAATATAGCAGACAGCTTCCAGAATAGTGATTGGATGTTTGAAAGAGAAATTATGGATCCCAGAAATGAAACAATACAGATTATCAATCAGAAGATATCGCAATAGAAGAAAGGGCATAACTATCCAATGTTACAACTTCTGATCCAGACGAAGCAGTTAACTTCTTTATTGAATTTTTGAATTCTTTGGATCTTCCAGGAATTCCATCACACAGGTTGGTATTAAGACAGAAATTCCATTGATGCTGCTAAGAAATCATGATCCTTCAAATTTATGTAATCGTACACGTCTTATTGTGAAGAAAATGTTACTTCACATATTGAAGCTCTTATTATAACTGGTCAAGAGAGAGACTGTACTGATTCCAAGAATTTCATTGATTCCAATACATATACCTTTTGATTTTAAATGATTGCAATTCCTAATCAGAGTAACTTTTTTTAATGCTTATTAATAAAACACAACGTCATTCAATGAAAGTTACTGGACTTCACCTTATGCAACCCTGCTTTTCTCATGGTCAGTTATATATTGCCTGCTCAAGAGTTGAAAATGCAAGGAATCTATACTTGCTTGCAATAAAAAAGAAAAAGAAACGTAGTTTATTCTGATGCATTACAATAAGAATTATTTAATAAAAACTTAATTCTGGTTTTAATTTTTTTTCACCATTCCCTCGACAAAGATTTTGTCATATTGATATATACATGAACATGTACATTCACCAACAAGCACGTGTAATTTCATACCTTATTTTAACGAAAATTTACTGTATGGATTCCCCACCTCTGTTGAGAGTTTAATCAACACACCGTTTCACCTGACATGAATATTATCCATAATTCGTACGTCAAACGTAATTATCTAAAAAGATATCTGGCAAAGACCTGCTGCACATTTCAGAATGCAACCAGCTCATATCTTTCTAGCTTCAGGTGCATCCTCATGCGATTCTGATAATTTTCTAATAGCAAAGAATTATTTTTATTATTATTATTATTATTATTATTATTATTATTATTATTATTATACTTTCAATTTCTTGCTGAGTACTTTTGCATCTGCAAAGAGGCAGATAAACTGATTGCGTTAACGTTTCTTTCTTTTTTTGTGGCACATCAGACATAAATTCACTGGGAGTCAGTTTATGAATTTCTGATGATTTTATCTTCCTAAAGAAGATATATACAAATCTGAAAGTTAATTTGCTTTCCAGCTTTAGCAGTTGGGCAGCAAAGTGATTAGGTTGTTTTGGGATTTCTTTTTTTGAAATTTCAGCGAATTGATAAGAGATTTGAAGGATAATCCCCCATGAGAGAAACATCGTGTATTTATAAATCTGACTCATCGGTGATTTATTTTGCAAGAGTAATGAAAATAAAACCGTTATCAGTCACTACGGTTAAATAAGGACTGATTTTGAAAGTGCATTACGCAAATGATAACCATAAGAAAAGATCGAGTACAACAACGATGAAACATATTTTTTTGTTAAGTAAGAATTCATTTTACAGCGTTTATATCTTTTTCCGCAAGTGAAACCCAAATGTTGTGATGAAAAATTGTTTGATCTCGAACAAAATAAAGCACTTTTCAGAGGAATCTTTTTTAATTTTACGTGTTCGTCTTTTTCTTTTTATCATGCTTGAGTTATTGTTGTAGAGTAGTTTTCACAGTGGAGGTTTGTATTTCACTAAATCGTCCTAAATTAGGTTCGATGTACAAAAAGTTAGGAACTTGAAGTAAGAGTTAATGACGCAGCAATCTAGTTGTGATGGTTCAATGTTAATATCGACTGACTCGCTCAACACCACTGAGCCCAAATGGCGACTGCTACTATAACTTATTATCTGTGAGAGAGTCTATTACAATAGAATAGGTATTATGGAAAACAGTTATAAATATAATTGACCACACTTTTGGATGGCTCAGAATCGTGGACGTCATATAATTTCCATATCAATCACCTTCCATAAAAGTTGTCTCCACGTGATCTGTGGCTATACATTTGAGGATAGGCTGTCTAATGTTGATCTTCTCGCAAAATGCAACATTGGTGGAATTGTAACTTTCCTGAGGCAGTCGAAACTTTGTTGGGCTGTCATATTGCAAGGATGAGTAACGACAGAATACCTAAGGTCCTTATGTATAGCCAGCTTGACATTGGATAAAGGACAAGTTGGACGGCCGTGGCTCAGATATGTATACAAGTTGTTAATGTGCCTCATACTTCAAGTGAGTTCTCCTGGATAGAATTAACTGGAGAGTGGTATCAGAAATTTTGAAATCAGTCGTAATGACCGGCTAAGAGACGAAAGACAACGGTAAAATGCACCAACAAATATTCCTGTGACTATGTCCGAGATCCTAGCTGTTGCAAAATATGTGGACTTGTATTCAGGTCACTAATGGCATCGAAGTGTCACATACGACACAAACATAAAAAAAATGAAGAGGCAGTTTTCATACATCGAAATTACCGAGAGAGTCCATCATATATATATATATATATATATATATATATATATATATATATATATATATATATATTCACACCTCTTACTTTAATACTGGACCATGGGAAATCTCATTACTCTAACACACAAGGCTGAGCCTCTGTGCCGAAACAGATTTATGGTCATATAATATTGAAACAACGGCTCCTGTACGATCGCTTGTGTTAAAAGCAACGTCGAGCCTGGTCAGTATCTAGACGGGTGACCGCTGTGAGCTTGGATGTGCGGGTGGTGTTATTGATAACAGCTCGGAATCGGAGTGCCGAGTTCCAATTCCAGCTGAGTTTGTTATGTTCATTTACGAGCAAATATCCTTGGGAAAGGTATGAATCCACCTCTTCTCCTCCAGCTATGGATTAATGAAGTAAGATTTGTCTCACTAAATCATTATTATCTCCCCGACCCATCAAAAATATTCTTAGAATCTAAAATTATTTTCTGACTTCAAATAACCTGAAAAGAATTTATACGTCGTAGAAAACAAACCACTCTAAAATCGTATGCCGAAACAAGCTTAAGAATATTTAACTAGAAAATTGGAAGTTTTGAATTTTTTCGTTCGATAATAACATTTCACTCACTTTTTCCCGTAATATTAAAATTTGATCAATGTGTGGTTAATGTATAAGAAGAAGATTGTTTTGTTCGAGGTTAAATCGTTATGCTGTTATTATGTACGCAATCATACTTTTATTTGGAGGGGGGTAATAATGGTATAGTGTTATACATCTTACTAATTACCTATATCTAGGGGAGAAGATTCATATATTTTCCAAAGGCATTCGCGCGTTAGTGGATATACCAAAACCGAATGGAATTGGAAATTGGCTAATCAATTAAAAATTCCGAGACATCACCCGCAAATCCAAACTTACAGTACCTGGTATTCCCAAGCGGTCACACATCTAAGTACTGACCAGGCTCAACATTGCTTAACTTAAGTGATTGTACGACGCGTGATGTTTCAAGCCTGGGGACAAAGAAAAAACATGGTGAAATTTCTGTAACATCCTAAGAATGTTCATACTATTGTAGCTAAAATATGACCGTGGATTTTCAAATATTGTAGTTTATTAATTTAAAACTACGTTTCTCAACCTGTGCAACGGGGTGCACTAATACACCCTGAGAGCTAGCCAGGTGGGCTTCAATTTAATAGAAGTGTAATCTATGAATTATTTTTATATTTTAAAAAAATCTTTATTTTTAAAATTCTAGAGACACCAAGCAATGTAACATTTTAAAAATAAATGCTTATATCAAGAGGCTTCTTTAGTACTTTTAGTACAATTGTTGTTTAGTCCTTTCTCCTCGCTTGTAGTCTCCCTTCTGTGCCTGCTATCAACACTGTGTCATCAGCATATCTTATACTTTTATGATTGTGGCCGCTAATAATGGATTCTGATAAAACTTTTAATTTTCTCAGAACGCCACCTGGTATAAAGTTAATAAGTCCGGTGTGAAATCATATTGTTGTCTTACATCCATTTTTTTTTTTTTGTGTATTTACTCTATTCATCTTATATCCGTATGTAGGCGATTTGCTGCCATTGTAGTTTCTGGATTATTCTAATATCATTCACAAAAAGGTCAAAGTTACCTCGCAGTTTCACAAGCGCACTGTTATGTGCTTTGCCAAACCCATTTATATAATCTATAAATCACAGGTACACCTCCTTCTGCATTTCTGTTGCTCTATCTGATATCATTCTGAGCAAAATATAGCATTATTTTTTCCAGCCTTTTTAATAAATCCGCACTGTTCTGCCTCTATTTCTGGCTTGATTTTTGATGCGCGCTCTATTCTTGAATATTTTGTTGTTACGTTTTGTTAACGATTCATTAGGCTGGTTGTCTGATTGGGCTCACATTCGTTTGCACCTGGTTTTTTAGGCAGTACTATTAATAAGAATCTTCTTACATCTTCCGGTATATCACCAGTCTTGTATGTTTCATTTACTATGTCTTTAATCTTTTCAATGCCGAAATTATTTAAGTCCGCTAGCATCTCCATTACGATTCCATCTGCTCCTATCGCTTTGTCACCGTTCAATTTGGCCATTGCAGATTCAATTTCTGATTCCAATACTTCTGGTCTTTCGTTATTTATGTGTATTGTTACTTGTTCTCTTTCGTTGTGAAAGACTTCTCCGAAATATTCGTTCCATCTTTGAACTATATATTCTTTCTCTGGTATCAGTGTCCCATTTTTGGATCTTATGCATCCTACCTACAGATGAGCATGTCTTTGGTCCTATTAGTTCTCTTATTTTCTCTTTTTTATGCATATCTGCTTTATTTGTGATATTCGTTCTCTCTATTTCTGTGCATTTTTGTTGAGTTATTCCTCTTTAGCTTGCTTGCATTCGTTCCTAATCTATTTGTACAGAATCCTATATTCTCTGCCGTACTTTGGCATCCCAATTGCCTCCTTTTCATCCTGTCAAATATTTTATCTGTCGTTCTTTTTTCATTTTACTATTTTTCTTTTTGGGGATAATCTAGATTGTTGTGCTTTCTAAACCTTCTCATAGTGTGTGCCACTTCGAGTATCCATACTCATTTTGTCCGTTGTGTCTACTTTTAACGCTGTCCACATATTTCATTCAGGTCAATCAGAAGTCCGCTGTATTATAACCGTGCACCATTGGTCTTATTTTTCTCCTAATTTGCCAAATATTTCGTCATCTTCCTCATGGCCTAGTTTAGTATTCTCGTCTTCCACGACGAGTGTAATTTATTGCGATTTGCATGAAGCCTTGATGTTGTTTAGCTTACGGTAAAACTTTTCAATTTCTTCTTCGGCACATTATGCATCGATGATGGAGATGTTAAAAGATTATCTTTTCAGTTTAACGGTAAGAATTCTTTCAGATAGTTGACAGTATCCCAGAACACAATTCTTCATGTATTGATCTAATATCAGTCCTACTACTCGTTCATTTTTCTCTCTGCCTTCATAGTTATTCCTGTATTTCTCACTGACGAAATCTACATTGTTTGTCCACCTCGTTTCATATACGCCTAAATTATTAGTATTTAAACTGTTCATTTCATGTTTTATAATTTCTAATAGACCACATTAGTTTAGTGTTCTGATATTCCATTTCGCAAGAATTGTTTTTTTTTCTTTAAAATGATACGTTTGTGGAATGATTTCAATAAACTACTTCCCCTTATTTATGCGTGTAAAGTTCCTCTTAAATATGATTTCGCGCGTATGTAACATGATTAGAGTGAATATTGATATATTCGATAAAACATAAAATTAGCTTCAACGAAAATTAACTATTTCTTATATACTTATGCCTCACTTACTCATCAAAATGAACGTTCCCTTTCTGACCATAAGACCAGGGTTTGAATACTGGCACATGGACTTCATATCGCCTTGTAATGGATGACTGAAACTTAAAGCAAATAAGCAATACGAATTCAGTTTCTGTCTATATTTCTGAAATGAGGTATTATGTACATTATTTACATTATTCGGACCATTGTCCTCATCTTTGTCACCATATTTATCACAACGTTTCGGCCGTTGTACACTCTGGCCTTCTTCGGGTGGTTGGAATGTCAAACTGAACCCTTTATTTCGCTCACTGGGGTAGACTGTTCTAGTTCCACGTGCCATGTTTGATGGATGTCAGTTTTCAGTTATCTCCTGTTAATTTCCCTCTGAAAGTTTTCCACTGCTTTAACCTTGGGTATTGAACTCACACTCTTTGGGTCCTGTCACTGGATCTAACCAACGCCTCTATCCACTGTGCCATGTGTCCTTGAGGACATCTGAGTATGAATTTCCGGGTATTATAAACTTAATGTCTTCAGCAACCATTTTTACCAGTGCTCATATTGCAATTTTGCTGTTATCATTGCATGTTTTTACCAGAGCTCATATTGCAACTTTGTTGTTATCATTGCTTTCCTCTCGCACTCCTTATTACTGGTTCCCATATTGTATTTATTTCTGTGCTTGGTCGGCTCAGGAGATTTTTGTGGCCTAGCATATGTGCTGATTCCTTAAGTTTACGAATTTTCCAATGGTGTTCCTTGTCTATGATCTCAACAGGATCCCACAGAGGGCGGTGATCTCCTTTCTCTCTCCTTCGACATTCCAACCACCAGAAGAATCCCGGAGCGTACAACGGCCGAAACGTTGTGATAAATATGGCGACAAAGATGGGGACAATACTCCGAATAATGTAAATAATGTACGAATTCAGTTTATTCAACAAATATTTGACCATTCAAATGGATACAAAAATACTAAAAGGCGTGGAATAATAACATGACTGAATTAATAACCAGATATAATTAATTTACAGAACAATAACTCAATTATTAGATGGAAGAAAGTTAATTAATCGAATGTGCACTATAATTAGAAATTACGAGGCCATTCAATAGACTTAATAATTAATAAGTTCCAAACTTTATTTGGATTAATTAACTCCTACTAAGCTAGGATGCTTAAACTATTTAAACCATTAGTGTGTAGCTTCTACATTTAGAGACGTGTATGACATAAAGTTTAAAATTCATCAGCCCTAAGATTACAATTAGACGACAAGGTACATTTTAAGGAAATATTAACGGAATATTGAGATCATTTCATTATTATTGTTATTGTCATTGATATTATTATTGAATATATGATAAAGAAAGGAAAATCTTCTTGTCTGTAATGAGTGAGTTTTGAAAAGGTGTCAACCTTCAATTTGTAATTGATTCTCAAAGATGGAGGCTTCAAACTGTTGGCCAAGTGTGTATTTTTACCAGAGAAAATTGAGTACTGATATTTTTTAATTCTTTTCATATCTTGACGTTCTTCTTAGTTTTAGTATGACAGTCCTAATAATATCGGTAAACTAAACCTTATGAGATCAACGCCGAAGTCCCCTAATTCTTGCTTCTTGATCTTACCCCCTTTATTTTTTATATTAACGATATATCTATGAACATTCTCAGACGATTAGTAAACATATATTTTGGATGAAAATTTCACGGAAGCCCCTACAAAAATGTAGATGTTCCGTGTCTTAAAACTTATATGTACGCTGACTCATCACTGACAGTTCAATGGAGAAAATGTCGGTTTGAAATTATCAATGCCTCTAAAGCCAAGCTAGAAATATTTCCTGAGCTTTCTCCAGCATCAATGAACGCTTGCATTCGTAAAGTGTATCCGTGTTTTGATCGCATATTGGACGCCAGTTCAATCCAGACATAAAGAGGAACTCATATACTGGTTGCGATGGGTAAATTGTCGTCATTCTATATTTTAAATTTCGCGCATGCTCTTTGTTTGTTTTAGATTTTGTCGACTGCACATTATAGCACGGTCAGTTGAGCACCGTCTGTGAGAAAAAGAGCCCGATGGCGCAATTCACTCCGCCGGAGATTTGGAAACAGCACGCTGTACTCCTTGGATTTGCGCCGGAAGCTTCAATGCGAACATTTCAGAGTGTTTGGGTGTAAATCTGAGGAGAGTGCAGAGGATTCGGAAAGTTGGATGAGTGATTACGAAGGTGTTGTGAGTGATCACCAGTGATGACGACGTTATTCCTCCATTCATTTTCACACAGGGACTCAGATTCAACACGGAGGCCTACATCAAATGCCTTGAGAAGGTAGTGCTGCACTGCGTGAAGTAGGTGGCTGCTAGAAGATCCTATATCTGGGATCAAGACTCTGCACCATGCCACACAAGCAGGAAATCACAGTCATGGCTGCCAGACAATTTCTGCGACCTCATCACCTCTTAAACAGGGCCAACTAAAGGCCCAGACTGTAACTCCCTTGCTGATCATGCGTGGTGCACAGCTGAGCTAGAGACCAACAAAACTCTTTGTAACATCAAAGATGAGTTAAAGGCAAGGTCTATGGGAGTTTTCACCAGCTTAAACAAAGAGACCATCCAGAAGAGATGCAAGAGATTCCGAAGTCGTCTGGAGGCCGTGGTT